CGCGACCATTGTTGTGCCGTGCCAGTCAAAACCGTGTCACCAGTAGATGGCAGCTCCGGCGTCAAACTGGGAACAATGTTTGAACCGCCTGTGCAGCGCCGGCAAGGGGCAGGTATGAGGTGGTTTTCTCGCCTCCTTTTCCTCATTTTCTCTTTCATCTCCACCCACCGATGGTGGAAAACGCCAGAATTCTGCGCCCTCACCTAGACCTACTAGTGGGGGCACGGTGGTGTTCACTCATCCACAAGCATACGAGTCTTCAACAATGATGGGTTTGTTTATTTAGAGGTAAAGGGTGTATATCTACTAAAAAAGCAACATTTCCTTTATTATTACATCCATCATTGATGTTAACACTTGTCATGCTGCGAGAGGCGGTCGAATATTGAACATGATTGGATATTTTTTCTTTGCTATGTGACACTTTGCATTAATTCATGATGCTGTTTTTTATTTGCCTATTGGATCACATTTGACTATGTATTGGTGCTATTTGTATGATGAAGTAGCTATTTACGACAGAACATTAATTTGTGAACGAGGAAAGCACGCAATATTAACATACTGTAACAACGATGTACTCAGACCCATCCGTCAGGTTTAATGATCACGACACTTGACAAGAAAATAATGGTGCTGAAAATTTCCGAAGTCTTGAAGTGGTGACACTTATTTCATGTTCATCGCCAGTCTAAGCGAATAGTCCACAACATGGGTGGCCCATCATCTGCCGCACCTAAAGGTATCTCCTAAAGGAACTACGCGTTGTTGCCGCAGTAGTCTCGCGTTATTGCTGAGGTAATCCCGCGTCATTTCTCTGCCTCTGACACCGGTCTGCTGAACCCTGTGCTAGTCTGTAGTCTCGCGTCCTTGCTGAAGGTAATCCCGCGTCATTTCTGCCTCTGACACCGGTCTGCTGAACCCTGTGCTAGTCTGTTCTGTCTGAATGACGGGATTGACACATGACGAGGACATCGGTATGCCGTTTGCATCGCCACCTGTCACCCGCTCAGATACTGGCAGTCCCCGATCGTGCTCGGAACCAGTTCGGACCTCGTTTCCCCTCCCTGACATCGGCCACCTGTTTACCACCCCGCTCAGATACTGCAGTCCACGATCGTGCTCGGAACCAGTTCTGACCTCGTTTCCCCTCCCTGACATCACCACCTGTCACCCCGCTCAGATACAGGCAGTCCACGATCGTGCTCGGAACCAGTTCGGACCTCGGTTCCCCTCCCTGACATCACCACCTGTCACCCGCTCAGATACTGGCAGTCCACGATCGTGCTCGGAACCAGTTTTGGGACACTCGGTTCCCCCTTCCTGACATCGCTACCTGTCACCCGCTCAGATACTGGCAGTCCCGATCGTGCTCGGAACCTGTTCGGACCTCGGTTCCCCTCCCTGACATCGTACCTGTCACCCGCTCAGATACTGGCAGTCCACGATCGTGCTCGGAACCTGTTCGGACCTCGGTTCCCCTTCCTGACATCGCTACCTGTCCACCCCGCTCAGATACTGGCAGTCCCCGATTGTATTCGGAGCCAGTTTGGACCCCGGCTCCTCTCACTGACTCGGCGGTTCAGATACTAGCAGTCCCTGATCGTGCTTGGAGCCAGTTCGGACCTCGGTTCCCCTCCCTGGCTCGGCCACGGCTAGTCAGAGAATTACGAGCAGTCACCACAAAATCTGCATTTTCTTAGCATCGTCGTACCTTAAATTGTGTCATCTCACGCTACCAAGACATCGAGGCAATAGAGGCGGGAATCACTTGACCATGATATCATAATAGCATGATTTCGACGGCGGATCTAGGGGGCGGGTCAGTGGTCATCATGATCATGATGGTCATAATCATCACACATGTCTTTGAGCTGTGGCACGAATGATGTGAGAAACGAGAACAGGATATCAATGTGCGTCCATGTCCCCCGTGGACCATCCCAGAATCTTAGGAGGAAATGAAAGTTTCCTAAAACATTCCTCTTTTCCGTGTGTTTCATAATCCTTATGACACCGAATGATTGCTGGCAGTTTTTATGTGTGGCAGGGGAAGGGAAAGGAGAAACGGGCTGTCCTTAGCTGACCTCGGCTATACACATGTCCGGGTGACCGGTTGCATGCCGCGCGCTCGGCTGGGGGTCAATTTGAACTTTCTGAGATCAAAAAGGAAAAGCTAGAGACACCAAATTCACTGGGTGGGTATATCTGTGTGAACTTGTATTGCATTGTATACTCATA